TTACTTTGCTGTAGGACTGCTTATATTTTCTATTTCTTATGTTTGTTTTAGGAAATTATATTTTCAAGGGATTTATTTCCTCTAAAGTTTGATATTTTTTGTCATATTTCTTGTTTTTGGTTTTTACAATATCTTCATTACCTTCTCACTGTTGGTAGACTCTGGTGATTATACTGTTTCCATTTCTGACATAGGCTATTTGTGCATAATCTTTCTTTGATTCATTTGCTCAGGTGTTTATTTTAATCTTATAATTTACTTCACCAAAGGTTTATTTTGTTGCTGCTGCTGTTGTTTCATCAGGGATTTATTATTCTTTTTTAAAGAACTTGTATTTAGTTTTATTGGTCCACTTCACTGAAAGAATATGTGGGGCATCTGGGTGGCTCAGTCGGTTAAGTGGCTGACTTCACCTTGGGTCATGATCCCAGGGTCCTGGGATCGAGCCCCATGTCGGGCTCCCTGCTCAGTGGGGAGCCTGCTTCTCCCTCTCCCTCTGCCTGCCTCTTGCCTACTTGTGCTTTCTCTCTCTGTCAAAAAAATAAATAAAATCTTTAAAATATATATGTGTGTTTGTGTATATATATACACCCACACATACATATACATACACATATATATATGTGTGTGTATACATATATATATTTATTTTATCTTATCAACTTCTTACTTTATATGCTTAAAGATGTGTATTAGCACTGGAGTAATTAACAAGATAGAGAAAAATTTAGAGGTTCCCATATAGGGCAGGATAGAAGTTCCAGATGGGAAGAAGCCACATTATATATTGTGTTTGTTATTCACTCTCCTCACACTGTCTGTCTCACTTATTTCAATGTAATATTTATGTACAAATAGTTTGTTGAACAAATTAATGGCAATTATAATTACCCCGCAGTGACTATTTTTCTCTTTAACCATTAGTTTATGGTAGCAGTAGATTAATGGTTACTTAATATCTGTTTTGGGGGGGAAAAACTAGATAGAGAAACTAGGACTGCTATTTTTGATCTCTCATGATGGCTTTTTATTTTTATTGGCCCCAAATCATACTGACTGCATAACTCTGAACAAATATAAAACTTCAAAGAAGTCATCTTGATAGGGCCCAGAGCCGGACCTAAATAAATAAATGTATACAAATGTAGAAAAGTAAAAAGCTCTTTATTTTTGCTTCCACATTCTGGAGAAGAAAATGTGCTCTTTAGAGCACTCCACTCTCTTAGAATGTTTAATGACATGAATCAGTATGAATTTTTAAGTGAGTCCTTAAGTATTTTGTTTATTCATTTACTTATTTTTGTGCATGCTCTAACTGATTCATAGTTACAGAGTTCTTTAATTCAAGATATGGCGTGTATCTAGTTTCATTGAAATTTCACAAAGTGTGTGCTCATTGAAGTGTGGTGCCTTTCCACTTGTAAGTAATTATTTAAAGAGTAGGATATTGAGTTTGATGATAACTTTAGATATTAACACTTGGACTAGTTTTCTAGATACATTAGCAATGAAATGGAAAGCATTTTGCAAATTGATACAAAGAAAATCAGAAGAACATTAAGACTCACAAACCTGTCATTGGTTTGGCAGTGAAATACATATTAGAAGTCTTATTTTTAAAAGGCATTTTGGGTAAAAAAAAAAAAAAGTCAGTTTTTTATGCATTTTCCCTGGTTTTTATCTTTAAGAATGAAATTTAAGACTACTTATTGCAAAAGATGTTGCCATGAATATAATTATTGGTTTACCTGAAGCACATGCCCTTAATGTGCTAAACACAGGATTTAAAGGATTCGTGAATCTTGCTCTTAGTGTGATATATGTGAAAAATTATGGTCAAGAAGATTAATAGAGAAAAGCAAATTCTTACACAATTTCTTCAAGGTGCCATCTAAATGTAGAGAAAGGACTAGGCAAAGATGATAATGGTATAACAGAATGTTATTTGACATTTATACGTCAAGACAGCACTGTTAATATGTACTTGTTTATCACATATTTGCTAGTTTTCTTTCAGATAAATGTGGCTTGTTTTATTTATAATTTGTTGTTATTTTAGAAATTGGCCAGTTCTAGTGCTTATTAGATTTGTAGCGATTACTTTTATGCCATTTATAGCAAAATATTTCAACATTGTTCTAAACAGTGCTGTCTGAGAGAACTTTATATGATGAAAATGTTTCCAGTGTTTCCATTATAGTGGTCACTGGTCACACATGGCTGGTGAGCACTTGGAATGTGTCTAGTGCAACTGAGGAGATGCATTTTCAAATTTAGTTGATTTTAATTAATGTAAATTTCATATTAAATGTCCACATGTGGCTGACTACCATAGTATACAGTATGGTGTTTACATTTATGTGAGTTAAAACATGTAAAATACTTAAACAGCATTTTTCAGATAATCAGTACTTACCATTTGTTGTTGCTATTGTTATTAATATTATGTGCTTATAGTGTATTTTGGGAAATACCTTCGTCACATGAATTCAGTTGACAAGATGTTGTTTTAAATATTATGCACTAAAACCCCTAAGAATCAGCCCTACTCATTGGGATCCATTCTCCTGACATTCACTGGCTTAAAAAAAATACTTCCAATGGATTCTGTGTCCTGTGTGAAATTTGAGATCTTTTCATGATTTATTATTATTTTTTTAAATTTTATTTTATTATGTTAGTCACCATACAGTATCTTTTCATGACTTAAAGCTGAATTATATAATTTGTGAACTCTGTATACTTCTTATTCTTCCTTTCTCTATTTTTCTTCTTCTTTTTTATATTTTTAAAATCACAATGGTGCAGATTTGGACTTACATCATAAAGTTGTCAGAGGAAGAACAATGCAAATAAAAACAAATTTTTTATTTCTGAATGTCAAATTAAATTATGAAAACAACATAAACACATACCTCTTCTATCTATTGGATAAGAAAAAATCAGTTTCATTCTTTTAGTTTCATAGAATTGCCATATGTATTTATAAAACCTCACAAAATATTTGATTTAAACATTTTAGGGGGCACATAACTTGTACCTGAAGAAAAATTTACTCCTAAGAATACCTTAATTTCTAGTCTCTGTTGATTTCTGTTACCCTCAATTTGGAGCTACCTGTATGTCATGATTTCCTCAGTATTCCTATGAAACAAGCCAATTTAAGTTGGATAATCATTGTTATTATCTCTTTTGTAAAATGGCATTTTTTCCTACATTTTTCATGCCTTGAGGTCTTTTACTAAAACTGTATTTGAATTTTGACTCCTATAAGCTTAGGCAAAGATCCTGAATGTATCTGGATGATAGTTTTTGTTTTGTTTTGTTTTTTAGGATTCAATTATTTATTTGAGAGAGAGCACTGGGAGAGGGAGAGCACTGGGAGAGGGAGAGAGAGTCTTGAGCAGACTCCTCACTGAATGTGGAGCCTGACACAGGGCTTGATTTCCCGACTTTAGATTACCACCTGAGCCAAAACCAAGAGTTGGGCACTTAACCGACTGCACCACCCAGGTACCCCTGATGATAGTTTTAAGCTAAAATAAATGCAGCTTCCCAAAATGTATATGTACCACAATGCTAGGGGTCAAACTTCAACACAAGAATAAGTGATTCTCTCTTGTGTGAATGTTTCTAGATCAGAAATGTTGATGTCAATAGGAGAGCAGCAGTTAGGAGAAGATAATCAGAGAGAGTGCAACTAGAATGCAGTTAATGGGCTTCAAAACAATTAACAGGCATAAAATTTGAGATTAATCTATTGGAAGGCTAATGAACAACAATGTATTTTTTTCCAGTCTGTAGTCTCACAAAAGGCACTAATATGTTGGTAGTGAACCTTGTATTGTATACAACTGACCTTACATTGGGCTGAGGAATGTCCTAAATGATCATGGGATAGTAATTCCTGAACTTTTTGTTCTTCTCTCCAAACCCTTAAGAACAGAGGCCAGCAGGTTGCTGATCACTAATTTTGTCTGTATCCAATAGACTGCAAGGAACATTCCCCTTATTATTATTTAGAGCAGATGAAGATAGTTGCTTGTTACATGGCTATGTCACCTTCTTGATCCTAACTGTCCTCTAATTTTGTTCAAGTATCTTCCCTCAAGTACTTGTCAGAGAGCTTCACGGGTCTGTTCTTAGCCTAGTGGGTATAGTGAAGGGTGACCGCCAGCCACGGTGGCCTCATCACCTTTGAAGAGGTTGGCTTGGCATGGGCTCCATGTCTCTCTTGGCCGATAAGAGTGCTGTTGCTGGGAGTGCATCCTGATAAGGGTTAGTGACACGAGGAAAAATGGCCTCTTTTCTGCCTCTGAACTTTATCGTGAATGCAACAGTGCTGCAGCTTATAAAGCTGTCCTCTAACCTGTCAGGGAGCTAGCCTGAGAACAAAATCTAGGAACTGAAACTTACAAATAACCAGAGTCCTTGCTGAAGGCATGGGGCTTTTGCAAAAACCAACCAAAAGAAGTGCTCTATCTCCCAATTTCCTGATTTTCAGGATAATAATTGCCACATTATTTAAACAATTGGTGTAGGGATTTTTCAGTTTCTTGAAGTCCAAAGCTTTTTAACTCATGTATTTCAGTATTATTTTTATGTCTATATGAAGATGTGTGTTAAATAATTATTTGAATAAAGGCAAGTTTAGGCTGACAATTTCACATTTTTTCCAAGATGTATAAATAACTTTTAGTCATGATTATGTGTATTAGGATTGGTATGATTTGTCCATTCTGCTAATTTGTATACTCACTTATTCTTGTTTTTAAGCTCTATCTCATTTAAATAAGCATTTTAACACTTATTTATATTCAGGATATAAAACAATTTGATTTGTAATTTAAAAAAATAACCATGATGAAAATCAAAAGAAAACAAGAAATTCAAGTAGAACATTTTATTAAAATATTCAGATATACAAAGAATATAAGGTTCTGATTCAGATTCCATGAAAACATTTAATATATTCAGTAAGAAAATTTATTTGTAATTGTAATAATTACACTAGTATTCTGAATCCCTTCTATTTTTACTATTGCATAAGATGAGTTTCTATCAGGTTTCAGAGTAGGATTTTCTCAAACTGCATATCCTAGATCATACTTGATTTGGATGGTACTTCAGATGATTAGATATGGTCTCCAGGCATCCTGATGTTGTGCCATACAATGGATTTGAGAAGGAGTATACAGAACTCTAAAGAAAAACACATTGAAGAGGTTAGGATTTTAGTCACTAAAGTAACAGACTTCTTTCCAGATCATGCAAAATACAATGAGTTTTTAATGGATTTCCACTGCAGTAGTAACTAGAACATTCCTGACTCTCCCCCTAGTACCTACAGTCCACACTGCCTACACTGCTGACAGACCAAAGCTTGGTCTGTGTCCAAGGCCCTTGGGGCATAGGAGTCACTGCCTTAGCCTCACCTCTGGTGGGATGGGGCAGTGCAGTGGCAGAATCTGGACTACCTCTTTCTGAGGTGCTGATTTCTCTAAGTCTGCTGTATTGATCATAGTTAAACAAAACAAAACAAAATACAAAACAAATAAACCTGACTTTGAGTTGAGAGAGTTATATTTTACAGAGTATATTAGAAAACCTAAAATGTGGAAAGTTCTAATAGGACAAACACTGATTTCTTCAACAAAGAAAGTACAAGGAAAACATGAGAGAGAAAATGGAGCCTAGAGATTTTAAAAGAGTCTTAGGAGACATGTCTATCAATTTGGATAATATACCTTATATCCATCCTAATTTTAAAAATATAGCAACAGCAACAAATATAACCCCCCTATTTATTTATGAGACAGTTGGGGTAGGTTGAATACTGATTGAATATTTAATGGCATCAAGGAATTATTAAAGGTTTAGGTATGATACTGTGGTTATATTTTTTAAAAGTCTTTATCCCTTAATGTTACAACTTAAGTCTTCACAGATGAAATTTAATGATATCTGGGATTTGTTTAAAAATAACCTGGTTGACACCAAGAATGAACCCTAATGTAAACTATGGACTCTGGATGATGGGAAGATACAGGTTTGTCAGTGTAACTCATGTACCATTCTGGTGTAGGATGTTGATAATGGGAGAGACCATGTGTTTGTGTGTGGGGGGATATATGAGAACTGTCTGTGCCTTCTGCTCAATTTTGCTATGAACCTAAAACAGCTCTAAACAAAACAGTCTTAAAAAAACAAAAATAAACCAACACCACCATTCTGGTGTATAGTGGGAATGGGTGGTGTAGAGGTGAAACAAGAATGACCACGGGTTGATAATGATTGAAGTTGGGAGATGGATACATGGCAGTTCATTATACTATTCTTACAATTTCTATATCAGGATTTGAGAATTTTCTCTAAGAGGTTTTGGAAGAGTATTTTGGAGAAGTCTATTTCTCTGTTACAAAGTCAGGAAAGGTATATGTAGTATACCTATATGTATACAAAGTCATTGTTTTCTGAAACAATAGAAATCAAAGCAGCAACAAAGTTCAAGAACTGTGGCAGAATTTCTTCTCTAGCCATTCTTAATGGAAGGTAAAAAATGTGAAAGAGGAATTATTTTTTTTATTTGGATAGAAAAAAGGAAATTGCTTCCAAGTTTCTCTGGTCATCAATTGACTGCCGTATGCAAACATAATAGAGTTTTGAAAGCACCTTAAAAGGTGGGTCTTTGATATGAACCCCACCCGTGTGCCAGAGAGACCATTTCTCAGTAGAAAGTAAAAGATGCACAGTACCCTCCTAGCAGCTTTTTAATTATTACAAGTTTATAAGATATTAATATAAAAAATGCCAAATTTAAAACACTACATTTGATTTCCTTATATCATTTGTATCTTTCGGATACTAAATGTTAAACTGAAGATTTTTTTAAAAAGATTAAATTTTCTTTCCTTTCCTAAAATGAAAGTAGGTTTGTATTACACCTACCTACTTTGCCAAAAAGATACCTTCGGCTTCCTAAATATGCATTTATTTATGGACTATCCATTTGAAGGGGGGGGGTCTACATTGTAAGTTTTACTCTGTGTCTTGATTGACTTGACAGTGTTCTGGGAAATATTCCTTGTTTTCATTCCTACCAAAATAATACTAAAAGTATATATGACATCATTATTGAATAAAACACAAATTAAAAAGTCAAGTGTTAGCCTTCAGCCATATCAACCAAGGTTCCAAAACTACTAGAAATCATCTAATCTGGCACCTTGTTACTCATTTAAATAATGGTAACAACTGTTTGTGGCCTATTCTTTTTAAAAATAATAGAGGAGAAATGAACACTTTAGCTTTCTATATACTCACTTTGACAAGAATGAATCTGATAAAATATTTCTAAAATCAGATGTAAGGAGGTTTTCGTAGACAAGAAGTGATGTGTCATGGCTAATCCTATTTGATATCTAAGTGAATGCTCATATTATCTACTTAAGAAAGAGATGAGAAAGATTTTACTTCATTTTCTCTTTAGTCTACTTAGTGCACTGATAAAGAATAGCCCTAAAAGGTCCCAAGAAAGATGAATACACTTTAATTTCTCCTTTAGTATTCTAAATTATCAGGTAATAGCCCTTTACTGCTCACACCTAAATTTAAAGCACAGCACAGAATGCTGTCCTCCCTTTTGTCTTTGGGAATAGAATACAAAGAACAGTCAATAAAGAGTTACTATGGGTAGCTGACTAATACTCTGGGTTAAACTGATATTTTCCAGATTTGTCAGCTCTTGTTGAGTATGAACAGTGACCACAAAGCCACTTAACAGTGAACTAACTTTACAAACAGATTGAATCTGCCCTGGAATGGAAAATTCTCATTGCACATCTAGAAGGACTAAAACTCCTTCCCATTCCCAATAAAATAACTCTGTTAAAATGTTCCTTGTAGCCATGATATGGACATGTCCAAACAACACTGTGTGTGTGTGTGTTTCTGCTTCTGAAACAGTACAGTTCACCATTACCACTTACCTCTGTTTTCTCTGGGTCACTCCAGTTCCCATAAACCGGATTAACAAATGCACATTTAACACTTCCTTTAGTTTTCCTTAAAGCACACAGGGCCATAAAAAAAGAGTAAGTATTGAAATGTAGCACAATACATTTCCAGGTTATTTTCTGGTAGACATCTTTGAGAGACACATTGTCTAGCCAGCATACTTATTTTTATGAATGTATTACCATAAGTAAAGTTATTATTATTATTTTTTTTGCAGGGCACCAAGGCAACCACATTCTTGAAAGTAAATATAATTTGAACTCTGAATATTTAGATCCAAATAAACGCAGGCAAATAAAAAATGGCATAAATTGGTCTTAAAATTGATTTCTTAAAATATTACTCAGGTGATACAAAGGGTACAACATTATAAAGAACTGGCTATATGGAAAGGCTACCTTAGACTTCAAAAATGCCAAACCACCAAATCCTGAGGACTATTTTTCATGACAGTGTTTGTCATGAAGATCTGTAGCAATGAGTCATTCTTTAACATTTTAAATAGCAAATTTAAATGTGTTTTGAAGAGTTCTTAATGTTAGTGTTTCCTTTAAATGAATCATAAAGAGATGTGTCCTTGATAATCTCACATGTTGGTCTAGATCTGCTAATATACTCTGATTAACTGAACTCCTAAATGATCATTTTCTTTTTGTGCTTTACTTAATTAAGAGTCTGTGGACTTATTAGAAGACAACAAACCCTGGAATAGTTGGTCACAACTGTTGAGAATAAAAAATGCCCATCACAGGAGCAAAAAATATAACAAGATAACTAAATACACCTCATTAAAGATTTACAGAATGATCCCATATATGCACACACACATATATACACACACACAAGCATAATGGAGAATGGAAAGACCAATTTTAGGATGATTGCCAGTGTCTTGAGGGCAGCTAGGAGGAAAAAAATGTATAATGCATGAATATTTTTGCCTAATCGGGGTATAATGACAATACGTCTGTCAATAATATAGCCTTAAATCCTAAGGGAAAAGGCAGTAAAGAGGAAACTCTGACTGATTTGTTTTTTGAAAAGAAATCGTCCGTTAATGACCTCTTATTGTCATCTACCAAAACACATAGTGAGTCCAACAGCCTAATCTGGGTAATTGTGTTTGGCTGGCAGTATGTTCTTCCTGTGGATTCAGTCTTCAAAGCTTCCTAATCTCTACTATTTCTATACAATTGGCTTAAATATTCAATAGCTTAACCAGTTCACCGTCATTGAGTCTACATTTTGGGTATCAATGCATAGGGATATATATAGCAGCTATATTTGTGGGTTATTATTTGAAAAAAAAATCATAGATACACTCAAATGATGAGGCAACAAGTATCTGTTAATTCCTTAGCTACAGTGAGTACTTATGATTTGTACAGTTAGGTTGAATAAGTGATATTTGATTCTTTTCCTTTCCTTCCTCCAAGACTAGTCAGTGTAAAGTTGTCAGAGTGGTAAGCTCAGTAAATGATACAGTTAGGTGCACGCCAGGCAGGGTTGCTTTTAGTGTTGAGATGGGATAGGGAGTTGAAGGGAAACTTCAAAATGTGTCACAATGCCAAAACAAAGGCTGGCACAGGAGAGACTGAACATTGAGGTAGGGAGTAACAAAACAAAATGGAAGTTAGGAACTAGATAAAGATCAGATGAATGCAGACACAGCTCAGAAAAATTAATCTCAGCTGAAATCAGGCATGAAATCAGGAAGCAAGAGGAAATCTAAACTGTGGGACTAGATAGGATAGATGGTCCAAAGGCCAGGCAGGCAACCAGGAACTGAAGGGACAGGCTTGGCAGTCAATTGGATAGAAGTGAGGTACAAGCAATACAAAAGATCTTGATGTGAGACAATTATTTTTGGCTTTGGAGCTGGGACCCTGGATGACCTAGACCAAGAGGCAGGCAGAAGGCAGGTAAATTGATCAGTTTTCCAGCTCTGTTAAATTCAGCTATTGGAGCTAATTTTCTTCTGAGAGGATTTTTAAGTCTTAAATAATTTTCTATTAAAATGAAAAAAAAAAAAAAGACCTATAGGTGGTAGGCTTTGGGGATCAGGTGACCACAAAGAAGGAAGGGTGACACTTAAGGTAAGAATGTGAAGTTGTAGTAAAAGAGGAAAGCATCACAGTATTAGTAGAACGTGAGCAATGGTAAATTCGTCCTCCTTTAAATTATGTTCATTAGCAGTCACAAACTACTGTTATTTTTCCCATCAAAGGTATGTCCCCAAATATGAGAAACCTCTGAATTGTTAGGCTTAATTTTTAATGTAGTTCCTGTTTATACTGTAAAATATCACCCACCATCAATAGATACTTATATTAAGTAAATTTCTAGTGTCAACTCCATACATTTACTATTTCAAGTACTATGATATAATTTTCCATATGCATCAATTATATGTAAGTTTGGTACTCAGACATAAACAATTTTACTTAAAATGATGGATCCTTCTATGAGGAAAACAAAATATCTGTGAAGTTTTCTGCCAGTTCTAACACTGTAATGTATAATGATAAGCCTGTATTAGGCTAAAAAATGCTATGTTTAACTTACACTATTTGTCAATAGGCAGACGTCTCTAAGAGAGTTGAGGTTTCAAAGAATCTCACCACCTCCAGGAATCAGCAAGGAATTGACTTAGAAATATGGAGTAGAGAGAAAAAAGCAGCATGGATCACATGAGTTTTCCATCCATAACTTAATCATGCATTCACTTCAATTATTATTAAGCTCCTGCTATATCCAGTATGTACAGTAACTGTATAGGGTGGCATTTTGAATGGGCTGAAGAGAGAGATGTCAGTACAGAACTAGGATAATTCTGATGGGAATTTCCGATTTAAATTTAGTGAGCATATGTATAACTCTAAAGGAATTCACTTCATGGCTTATTAACAATTGTTTTAGTGTTGATTAAAAATGTGTTTGTAATACGTATCTGAAATTACTATAAATGGGCAGTGAAGAAAAACAAAGAATAAAACAAAAACTCATCTATGTTACATCCAGTAAACATGACTTTAAGGTAAATGTTTAGTATATGTATATTTTAACAGCTTTATTCAGTTATCACATACCATATAAATTTACTCATTTAAACATGATTCAATTTTTAGTAATATTAATTGTTTTTATAAATGGTGAATATGTATAACATAAAATTTGACATTTTAACCACTTTTCAGTGTATATTCCGTGGCTTTCAATATTTTCACAGTGTTATCCAATCATCACCTCTGTCTATTTACAAAATGTTTTCATCACCAGAAATAGAAACTCAGTAGCCATTAAACCATAGTTTCCCATTCTCCTCTTTCTCCAGCCCAGGGTAACCTCTGATTTACCTTCTGTCTCTATGAATTTGCCTATTCTAGGTACTTCACATAAGTAGAATTGTACAATTTTTATCTTTTTGTGTCTGGCTTATTCCACTTAGTATAATGTTTTCAAGGTTCACCCATATTGCAGCATGTATAAGAACTTCAGTAATTTTTATGACTGAATAATACTCCATTGTATGCATATGTTACATTTTGTTTACTCATTCATCTGATGATAGACACGAGTTGCTTTCACCTTTTGACTATTGTGACTGATGTTATGAATGTTGACATGTAAGTATCTGAGTTCCTATTCATTTATATATCTTTTCATGTGCTTATTTGCCATTTGTATATCTTTCCTGAAGAAATGTCTGTAAAAGTCTGCTGCTTTTAATTGGGTTGTTCTTTGTTGTTGAGTTGTAGGAGTTTTTTTAAATATATTCTGGATATTAAACTCTAATCAGATGTATGATTTCAAATATTTTTTTCTATTCTGTAGGTTGTCCTTTGATAATATCCTTTGTCCCTTTGATAATATCCTTTGATACATGAACATTTTTGATGAAGTCCAGTTTATCTTTTTGTTTTGTCTCTTGGGCTTTTGGTGTCATATCTAAGAATTCATTGTTATCTTTTCACATGTCTGTTGGTCATCTTCATGGCTTCTTTGGAAAAATATCTATTCATGTCCTTTGCCCATTTTTTAATTGGATTGTTTTTTTGATGCTGAGTTGTATAACTTCTTTATATATTTTTTATATTAACCCCTTGTCAGATTATATCATTTGCAAATATCTTTTCCCATTCAGTAAGTGCTTTTTTGTTTTGTTGATGGCTTTCTTCACTGTGCAAAAGCTTTTTATTTTGGTGTAGTGCCAGTAAGCTTAATTTTGTTTTTGTTTCCCTTGCCAGAGAAGACATATCTAGAAAAAAAATGTTTCTATGGCTGATGTCAAAGAAATTACTGCCTTTATTTTCTTCTAGGACTTACATGGTTTCAGGTCTCTATCACATGATCGGTGAAACGCATATTAAAACCATAATGAAATATTACTTCAAAATGGCTAAAATAAAAAACACAAGAATTAGCAAGTGTTGAGTGAGGATGTGGAGAAAAAGGAACCTTTGTGCACTGTTGATGGGAATGAAGATTGGTATAGCCGCTGTGGAAAAACAGTATGAATGTTCCTGAAAAAAAAAAAAAAAAAAAAACCTGAAAAAATAGAATTACTATATGATCCAATAATTGCACCACTGGGTATTTACCCAAAGAAAGTAAAAATACTAATTCAGGATGCCTGGGTGGCTCAATTATTAAGTGTCTGCCTTCAGCTCGGGTCATGACCCCAGGGTCCTGGGAGCGAGCCCCGCATGGGGCTCCCTGCTCAGCGGGAAGCCTGCTTCTCCCTCTTCCACTCCCCCTGCTTGTGTTCCCTCTCTCACTGTATCTCTCTCTGTCAAATAAATAAATAAAAATTTTTAAAAAATAATAGAAAACAAAAACACTAATTCATAAAGATACATCCCCTCCTATGTTTTTTTTATTTTGTCTAATTGCTCTGGTTAAATTTTCTTATTGATAAACACATTTATCTCTAGCTTCTTGGGGCTAAAACCTTTACTAATATAAAACTAAATTGTGGGGTGCATCCAACTCTTGGTTTTGGCTCAGGTCATGATCTTAGGGTCCTGGGATCAAGCCCTGAGTCAGGC